CGTTGGTAGAAAGAGATAGGGTTTCCCAATTGCGGGTTTCATGGAGTTAATCAGCCACGCAGTCACCAATGAATTTTCCGACCTCCATCTCTGCAGAAAGACGGCATCGGTTGAGGCAGGCTGCTTCTTTTCTCCGGTAAGATATCCCAATTTACCTTTTCCATCGACAATGAGCTTGATTAATTGAGCCCATTCATGGTAATTCTTTCCGTTTAATTTTTCCATGGTGAGTTGGAAAGACGAATTGTCCAGTTCTCCGAAGCCCATGGTGGAGAGAGATTCTACTTCACTGCTTTGGGACTCAGACGTGGTTGGCTGGTTGTTTTCAGTTTGTTCTTCCATTGTCGGTTGAAGGCTCGGTCAGGAATGATCAGGCTCTAATACCATATGGAAACGAGAATTTAATTCTCTCTAACTTTACATTACAAAGAGCCTCAATATATAGTACAAACTAGGAATAAAAAAGGCAAGCTTCTAACTAGGGAAATATGAAATTTACCTAATCTAGTTAAGGTAAAAAATCAATTATACAATCATATAAAAAATATTTCCATAACCGGGATTTCTACAAGTAATGTTGCCTCACAGTTGTACATTTTGCTCAGATTGTCGAATGTACAAGTAATTAGGTGGTGAAGTGGCGGATGGTAGTAATTTGAGTTGTTCAATTGCAAAGTTGGCTAGTCGATCTGTATTTTTGGAAATCTAGATGCTATGAATTATTGGTACCCGACACAGACATGTCGCTAACACGCTCGCATCTACTTTTCAAGGAAAAAAAATGTGCATAAAAACATTGGGGACATGTTAATCTAAATTGTTATACATTTTATATTATATCTTATTTTTGTAATTTTTTAATTTCAAATAAAATCAATATTCTTTCTTAGTTTTGATATTTCCAAGCATCCTCAAGCGTACAAGGAGTTTCAGTGACCGACATGTCTAGGACATAGTTGTGGCAATGGGCCAAGCCGAGCCAGTTCGGCCCATGATCGTACGAGCTCGCACGAGCCGAGAACCCGCTCGGCTTGTGGCAAATTGGGCGAGCTCGGCTCGTGGCCCGAGCTTGCCCAAAGACGAGCCGAGCCGCTCTGCTCGTCTTTGACATCATTTTTTTTAAAATTTAAATCACTAAACTTAAATAAATATATATATACACTGTACACAAACATTATCTAAATTTTTTTATAAAATATATACTTTTCAAAACAATTTAAATTTTTAAAATAATAAGAACAAAATTTTATTTGTTAAGAAATACCTAAAGAAAAATATATATATAAACACGTTTTGTAAACAATT